AAAAAAAAATAAGTTTCAAACATTTCATTTCTTCTTATTAACTAGATAATTCACCATATTTCTTTGTGATCCAAGTAAAACACCATCCGCATCATAACATATTTTCTGTCGTTCTCTATTTACAATTCCATTACACATTTTTTTATGATAATAATGTTTTAAACCAGGTTCTACTGTTCGAAAAACATTACATTCTGATGATGATTCACTAAATCGTTGAAATAAATGAACGTCTTCATTCCCCCATTCATGATTATTAATTTCCCATCCACCAATTCTATCTAAATCTTGTTTACGTACAACAACATTCCCATAACCGTAAATAGAAAAACTCCCAATATTTGAATTGATATCAATTACTGTCCTATTATTAACATTAAACATACTGGAAAAATATGAAAATATAATCGGAAAGTAGACTGTACAAGATGATATAGATAATTGATGTATCATCAATTGACGAATATTATCTAATGCTTGTCCAGTAAATATGAGATCAACATCAAGAAAAAATAACAGTTGTTTATCAGTAAATAATTTTGATGCTAATTGACGACCAAGTCCACGATTATAATTTATTTGATTTTGATTAATAATAGATAGACGAATAACTGAAGTATATTTAATTGATAATTGATGTATATGTTCATATATTTGATTAATTGTTTGATTTTTTTGATAAAAATAAAGAATTGTTAATGTAAAATATTGATATCGATTCGGATATTTCAATACTTCACGTTCAAAATTCTCTATTAATCTTATTAATGTTGTATCTTTATTACTAGATACAACAACAAGATTTAATTGATAAATACTTTCATTTGTTTTAATATCAATAATTTCTCGATATTCAAAATGATGTTTATTAATAAATGGCTGACGAATATGAATACGTTTTCGTACAGTATTAGATCGAGTCGAAGACATAGAAATTAAGCGTGTATTTAATAGAATTTCAACTATTAATTCTAAACCATATGATGGTATTAAACGATAATAACCAAATATAAATTTACCATTCATCCCTGTACAATTGCAAGATTGTCTATACCAAATTAATCTTGTATTTTCAACATAAGATTGAACAATATTTTCAATATATAATTTCCATCGAGCATCAATCAATTGATAATGTATATCACGAGCAAGATTAAATTCTGTTTTTGCTAAAAATGTAACAAAGTATTCTTTATTCATTGAGATTTTTAATGATGAATTATTTTGTAAACGTTGATTTTCTTGTTTTTTTCGTATATAAAAAGTAAATATTTGATAAAATGTTTTTTGATCTTTAATTGGATGAATAATAAATGCTCGCGAAAGAATCAATGGAGTAAAATCATAACCAAACAAATATCGAGAGCCATAATGATGATAGAAAAAATATTTTGAATCATAAGCTTTCAAACAACTAATATGAACATGCGTTAATATACAACGACCTAATTCAACATCTTCATGTATAGTACGAATTTCTTTATTTAAACATTGATCAAGCCAAGGACCAAGTTCAATTAAAGTCTGTTGAGATAATATAACTCCACTACCACCCATACAAAAATACTAAAATATATAAAATGAAATTGAAATATGCAAAACTAATTTATTGAATTACTTGTTCAGATGGAAAATGAATTGATGGACCATTTCGTCTACCAGATCCACTTTGTCCAATATATAAAGCTTGTCTATGATCAATTGATTTAAGCCATGGAATAAGTTTTTCAATGTTAACATAAGCATTATCATCTAAACGTAATAACCAAAATGTTCTTTGTTGATAAAATGTATAGATAAATTTCATAGCATAAAAACTCTTTTTTTGTGGTGGATAAGTATTTTCCACATGTTTTAATTTAACAATAAATAAACAAGATTTTGTTTGTTGATTTAATTGAAGAAATAGATTTTCTAATGATTCTTCTGTTTCGGAAGAATGTTCTTCAATAAATATAATTATTTCAATTTCATTTGTTGTTGTTAATATCCATGTATTGAGTATTGATGGTAAATAAAATAAAAGACGTTCATAAGACGAAAGAATAGCTATTGTTAAAAATAAATTAGAACTTTCATTTTTACATGTTTTTTTTGTTCGATATTGAAAATGTTCATAGAACGATGATTTTCTCCGAATTGGTGCTTCAATGAATGATGATGTACATGGAATTCCAATTAATATTTGCCAATAATGTAAACCAACGATAAAACCAAGAAGAAAAAAACATAATAGACATAAATTAAATCTCAAATAATTGTTTGATGTACGCGACATTCATTGCTTGTTATTACTACAAAAGTAAACATATAGAATCTTGACATCATACATGACAAATAGAGTAAATGGTGATTTCAATAAATACTTACAATACAACAAGAAAAAGAACAATGATCGTTTTTTTTCTCTCTCTTAGTAAATTGAGATGATGGGAAAAGGAATAAAATCGAAAAAAAAGAATTGAATTGTATATTTACCCAAACAATGAAACAGTGTAATAACTATTGATCATTTTTTAAGACTATATGAAACATTTCAGTGACAAGTTGTACTTATAAAAACATTTATCAATATTTTTCAAGGTTAAATAGTGTGTATGTCAAGATATAAATATCTTTTTTCAAACAAATGTTTTACTTTTTTATTAATTGTCTATTATTAATATCAAGATAAGCAAATAAACACATGCAGGTTCTTTAGACATTATTGAATACAAATAAAAAGAAAAACTACTAACACACTACAGTATAGTACATAAAAAATAAAAAGTTTCAATTAATCTTAGTCAGACAAAATCCAGTTAATCATCATTATCATCATCATCATGAGATGTTGTGTTTGTATGGAAGCGATACAATTGAAAACTAACCATACCGCGCATACCTCTTACATTATGTTCGATACCTGGTGCCCATGCACGACATGTAATACTAACAAGACGATCTAATGGTAATTTATTAAATTGAACAAGAACAAATGGTTGAACATGGTCTTTAGCATTTCTAGAATTAAAATATTAGATTTTTTTGAAAAGATAAAAATAAATTTTTACCGAAATGGAAAGAAATAATTTGGAATAACACCAAATTTATTTGAACCATCTGGATAACCCAATGAATAATACGTCGTACTTGTTATTACATCACTATCAGCAGCATGCTATTTTATTAAATTATAATTTAATATATTGAAATATTTCAAATAATAGTTTTTAGGAAATAAAAATTTTTAGTTCTATAAATATACAAAGTGACCATTAACATATTTTAGATTGTCTTAGGCATATACACAATATGGTAGTCTTCAAAAGATACTAACCGTTCCTGTACATGTAATATATACATCTGAATTTGTTGTACTTTTACTACTACTGACACCTCGAAGTTTCTGTATATTTGATGGTAAAACACCTTTAATAGGTGCCCATCCGTAAACCTAAACATTAATCATTTGCTGATGTTTGAAGGTAATAATTTTCCTACTTTATTAAGTTTAACAAGAACACAAGGTTGTTCGTTTTTAAAACCAAATAGATTATCATCTGAACACGGATGATCAGCACTTTTAACAATATGAGACCAATTAAATAGACAAGCTGTACCATATGGTAATTCCGAAGCTGGTTCTTTTTCTGAACATTCTTCTGTTTTAGCTTCACTACTTTGTACAAGAAAAACATCGCGAAATAATCGAAGAGATGAACCAATACGTTCTTGTTGTGATGGATCATTTGATATATGAATAAGACTATCATCTACAATTGGTTGTGGGCGAAAACCCATTCCAACTAAATAAATAAAAGAATAGAAAAATCAAATTAAAATTCATATATATATATAAAATACAAACCAACAGCAGATGTACTTCGCACAGCCATAGCACTTTCTGTATTATGATATCTTGGTTCAACTCGATCAAGTATAGATGCAAATATATAAACCAAACCAACAAAAAAACAGCCCAAAAAGAAATAAAATACTGTATAAAAAGCTGATAATTTAGCTAAAAAATAAATTGAAATAAATATTATTTGAATTATTTATTTTATTTTTCAATTTACCCCAATTAAGACTATCACGACCAAGTACTGTTTTCTTTTTTGGATTATATAAGAAATTCATAAATGCTTTTGCAGCATTTCCTTTCTTTTTCGTAGGTAAACCTGATAGTTTATCATCACTCCAATGACTATCTTTTCGTTGTTCCGCACCTGTATTTGTTGGTACTAAAGTAATATCATCGGATCGTTCATTATTACTTGCCATTTTATCTAAATTATTTATTTATTATTTGTGTAACAAATTAAAAAGAGATTGTAGAAAAAAAAACTTACCTTCTTCCGATATATAAACGAAAAATAAATAGAATTATATTATGTATGCATATTTCATCGAATAATAATAACCTTAGTACGGTTGAAAATGCCTTCAACCGTAACGATCTGATGCATATTTTTTCTTATCATTCTTATAGGAGAACGGCAATCATACAGTCTTTTTTTTTCGGCTTCTGTATATATGTATATTAAAACCGAGCGCATTTATTTAGGTAAAGTGACAAATATTAAGAAAAAGGAAAAAAAAAACGAAAGGCTATCAGAATAGCAACGAAAAAAGAAATGATGGATTTATACACTAAGTTTTTCAAACATCAAAACCGACATGAAGAAAAAAATTACTTTCAAGTATTATAGTTAATTAATTAAGTACTTTGAGGACCAAGTTTATTTGTTTTGGTTATATCAAATTCAGCTATTCCACGCATTGTTGAACCTTGAGAAAATTGTTCAATATTTGGTGCCCAAGCACGACATTGAATTGTAATTTTCTGTTCTAATGGTAATGATGTAAATTGTACTAATACAAATGGTTCAACACTGTCTTTAGCATTCCTAAAAAAATAATATGTATACATATAAAATAAAAAAATTAGTTTTTCTTACATATAAGGAAAAAAGTAATAAGGTAAACCACCATAATTTGAATTACCAAGTGGACTTAAAAGTGAATAATATATCATTGGACCAAGTGCTGCTTTATCAGATGCTTCTTTTCCATTACATGTTATATAAATATTTTGTTCACGTTGATCAATTGGTGATACTGGTTGTCCTGTAAAATTAGCAACTTGAATAGCAATACTGCCGGTTTGTGGTAACCAGCCATAAATCTTCAAAAGAAAAATTAATATCTTCAGTTATTTTCTGAAATGATAATATTTACTTTGTTTAGTTTAATAAGCATGCATGGCATTCCCGTTCCCCAACCATATAGATTTGTATCAGAACAAGGATGTGCTACAAGAAAAAAAAGTTAATCTCGATTTGAAAATATTTATATTAATATGTATTCAATACTTTCGGTTGTAACAACATCAGTCCATGAAAGTTTACAGGAAAAACCTGCTTGAAGTTGTGACGCTGGTGCAGTTGGACTACAATCTGATAAATATGTTGTATCATATTGTGTAAGAAATACTATAGAAAAAATATAATAATCAAGAAAGTGATTTTTTTTCTTTTTTAAAAATATATGTACCAGCTACATAACCTCTTAATGTAGCAACCGTGTTATTTATTGATGCTGTATCATTATAAAGAGTAACTGATGTACTAGTCATATCAGGCATTGGTCGAAAACCCACTCCTAGAAAAGTATAAGAAAATCTTTTTATTTTATATAATAATTTTAATGAAATCAAACCTGGATAAACATTTCCTTTAATACTCATTTGACTATTATGAAACAAATATCTAGGTGATTCACGTGATAAAATAGCAGCAAATACAGCAACCATACCGGAATAGAATAAACCCAAGCAAATGTAGAAAAAAAAGTAATAAATAGACGTTTTAATCCAAAATGAACTTGTATTTCCAAAAATTGTCTGATATTCTTTATTATACACCCAAATGCGTGTTGATTGCCATTGCTTTACTGCACGAATTACCATGCGATCTTTAAATGGTAGTTCACTTTCATTGTCTCCACTTGAATGAATTACTTGTACATCATTTGAATCATCGGATTTAGGTGCCATGATTTATTTATTTATGAGTATAAATAAAAGATTATTTTGTTTTCGTATATACGTTGGCCAATAAGAAAAAGTAAATGAGTCGTTTGATTTGAATAAAACAGGTGAAAGAAAGAGAATTATAACGTGGTGATCGTTCAACCATGACCGTCAGTCACTACTTAATGAGAATATTTTACTAGTGAAGAAGAAAAATACTACTATTGTTGCAATGGCCTTTAGCGATATATAATTAACTTTTTTTTTTGTACGAAAATAAAAAAACATCAAGGATATTTAAATCGATTTGCATAATAAATAGCAAAGATATTTTGGAATGTTTTTCTTCCGAAAATAAAATCTATCTTCATTTGAATTTTATTTATAAATATAAGAACATCTTTTTTTTTAGTATATAAGCTTATTTTTAAATTGAAATATCTATCTTTGTTGAATAAAGATATCAAAATGAATACGCTAAACATTGTCGAATAGAATGAGATGTATGGGTAATAACCTTTGATATTTATCTACAATGTGAACAATGATGCGATGATTAAGATTTATTAACAAAATAGATTATTGATGAACTCAATAATATAAAATCATAAAATAGTTAACATTTCGTCTTGAGTGAAGTTTTACTAAGCTAAAAACCGTTCATTTATTACCATATATATTGATTACATGCGCGATCAATCATATCTTTTCATTTTAAAATTTTAACGCAGATTTATTTGATTCTTATCGTGATTAAAACAAATAAAATCGTCTTTGAGCGACATCATTTGATAAAATATCATTATTCTAATGGAGCGAATAATTATCCTACTAAAAAATTTAATACTTATTAAATAAACCAACCTCTTTTCGATACATTTTTAATCATTAATTTCATATACATTCTAATATTTTTAAGATTAAATTTAAAAGATAAATGGATTCATCGAATTCTTTGACACCGTCATTAACTATTGAAAATGATCTTGATCCTCCTGATGGCGATGATGATTTTAAGCGTATACTATTTCCAATTCTATCAACAAATATTTCTCCACTTCGACCATCAATAACAAGTCCATCATATCATGATACAAAACAATATAAAAATTTATTTTTCGAAAGTTGTATACAAATTCAAGAACAGATAGCTCATCATCGTTGGCCATTCTGTCCGATTTATTTATTACATATTAATACTTATTGTCATATTGATTCTTTTTCAATACCAGCAGAAATTGCTCTTGTTGAAACAACATTTTGGCCACAATTATATGGTAGTAATAATGATGTACAATCTATGAATATATCAAGAAAAATAAATGAACATTATGAACGTCATTCACATTTATATAAACGTTTTTGTTCGATTACAGATGATTTTCATGATTTTGTTCATCCAGGTGATCAATTACCCACTGGTTATCAAGCAGATATTCTCGAACATTCAAGAAGAACTCATGGTATGAATAAGTTTGGGTTTTTTTTTGCATATTTATACTATCAATACATTCAATCATAGATTCATATTGATCTCTTAGAAAACTAGTACTTTAAAAAATAATTAAACTCGTAATATATAGATGAAATAGTTCCGCGGAGGAAACAGCTAGACAGCATCTACTTCAAAAAAAGAATATTTAATGTATGCATATCCGGAGTCTCACTTATTTACTTTTTGAGTATATCCTGTTATAGACATTAGATATATAGGTACTATAAATAATTTTTAAAAAAGCACTAAATGACGCAGACATATATAAATGGACATAGCAGGTACCTAAAAACTAATAATTATAGTAACACTAATTTGCAGTTAATTAACATGCAAGAAAATACGGGTTGTTTTGAATAAGAATTCTAACAAATTATATTTCTCATTGTTTTTAAAATCTAACGGAAATCGGAAAAGACGACGAATATTGGAGTATTTCCTTAGATTCAATGTAATAGAATTATAATTAATAGATACTTGTCTATTATTAGAAATGATGATCTATTGAGACGTTCTTTTGTTTTTTGTAGGTATACCATGTACACCTAATGAAAAAATTGGTACACAAGATTATAATCAATTATTAGATGATTTAAATGAAATGCTTGATTCATTATGTGATTTTCGTAAAAAAATTGATGATGAACGTATGCCAATGTTTTGTACAATGGAATCATTTTGGTCGACCAAAGCAGCACTTGATTGGATTTATGATCAACCATCAACACGAGATCGACTTGATGATTATACATTATATCCTATCGAAGCATTAATTGCTGTTATCTATGAAAATTTTTATAATCGAGCTCAATTTAAATGTGATTTAGGAATTTTAATGGGGTTTATATTAATTTATTAAAATAAAATAATGTTTATTTTTTCTACTCTCTCTCTCTCTTTAGGAAAACTCCTCAACAACCTGTTCTACATTCTCGTGCATGTGATTATCATGCTATACTTGAAAATAAATACTGTGCTATGGCTCATGTAAGTCTATCCTATTTCATAAAAATCATGTATTTTTATTGAAAAATAAACATAAAAAAAGGTTCGAGATTTGGCTAGTTATTATACTTCATTAATGGCTTATTTATTCTATACATATTGTGATCATAATTCATCAACATTATTACCTTATATAAAAGTAACTTATCATGGTAGTTTAGCATTACAACGAGAAGCTTATTGGTCTGGTAGAAAAGATGAATATAAAAAAAATCCGAATAAAAATTCTCTAAAATCAAATTGTACTTTATCATTATCATCATCATCATCAGATGCAAGTTTAAATGATAAATTATTTGAGAATACAAAAAATTCTATGAAAACAAAAAAATATGAAAATAATCGAAATAATTCAACAAGTAAATTAAGATTTATACAAAAAAAACCCATTTATTTAATATTTATATTATAGAAAATATTTCGTGTTCAAATTTAAATCCATTAGCAATACCATTTCTTAATCAAACTGAACAACAACCACAAACTATTCAACGTCCTACAGATAATGAGAAAACACCAGCTCAATTAGTATTATTTGAACCACGTTCTAATCCATCACGTGAACGATCATGTCAAACAATTTATCAACGTATACATCATCGACCATGTGAAGATTGGGATTAATATAAACCATTTAAACATTATGAATAAAATAATGTTTGTTTGTTTGTTTGTTTATTGTTTTTTTTGTAAACATATATGTTTTCCGTTTGAAATGAACGAAAAAAAACTTATTCATTTTTTCTCTTGATTTACATCAGCAAACATTCCTGATCTTTCATATATACGAATCATAAGTTCATTTGGATCAAAATTTTGAAATTTTGTTTTCAAAAAATCAAGACATAATGACCATAATATAGTACGAATATTTGATTGACCGATATCAATAACATATTGCATTTGAGATTGTTCTTGACATAAACGACTTGTTTCTAATAGAAAACGTTTGAGATTTAAATTTTTTAAAGTCCAATTATCAAATATATCGATTAATATTTCAAGATTATTACACATGATAGAACATATAGAAAATAATGAATGTGATTGAGTTAAACATATGGGATATTTATTTAACATATATCGATCGATTTCACTACATGTTAATGATAGATCAGTATTTAAAAAATAATTTAATTCTTGCATTAAACATATTTCTGTTGCTTTTGCCCATAATTGACCTGATCGAGTTAAGAAATCAAAACTTCGTTCTAATTTAGCTTCACCTTGTGAAAAAAACTTTGTTTAAATTAGGTTTTTCTGTAAGAACATAATCAACTTACAAAATGCATAGGAAAATTGAACAAGTAAATTTTCTCGTCCACATTGATAAATTGAATCAATACAAGAAAAATAATAACAATCTGTTATATTTAAATATTGTTCACATATATGAATAGATTTTTTTGATAGAGTTTTACTCAGATGAATATGACGTGTTTGAACATTAGAATAAATAATAACTAAATAGTAAATAGAGAATAGTCGTATCGTTGTCATCATCATGAATAGAAAAAGAAATGTCAAAAAAAAGAAACATGTATATTGATGATAAATTTATGGTTGATATTAATGTTACTAAAGGGAAGACGCAATGCATGTTAAAAGACCATTGAACATGATATTATTTTTTGTTATTTTTAGAATGAAGTAGTAAAATAAGATATTCAAACACTAGGTTAATTGTATGAAAATTCAATGTAATGTATATATATATATTTCGATAAAAGTAACAGACACAATTTTTAGGCTTCATTAGGTGAACTGATACAACAGGTTGACCTGTATATTTTATTGCATGACTGTTGTCTATATGCCAATGAAGTTGAATGTATATATTTCATAGATTATTTATAAAAAGATATTCAATTTTAGTATCGTTCTTTTTTCCTTTTCAAATATATTGAAAATTGATATTATCCTATAGTTTATTCACGTTAATTTTATTTAATTAATTTTTATTTTTATATTCTAACTATAGAAGGAGGAGAAAAAGGAAACAGATGAGAGCTTTCTTATTGTAAATGACATTTTGATGCTAAACACTTTGCTTACGTACGGAGAGAATATTGAATCTGTCAATCATCTTCAACTATTATCAATGAGTAAATAGCCTTTCAATTCATCTTAGTTATGCGGAGGCGTTTGAGACTAGTAGATTATGCATTATATAAGAAAAGTGCTTACCATTTTCTTTTTCTTATATAGATAATTGATGTTGAAAATCATTTGAATAGACTAACTGATCGCTTTGAAAAGACTGCCTGCGGTTATAAGATCATTAGTTATAAGAATAAAATAATTCTTAACAAGCAAAAGAAAGGACGAAGAAGAAGAAGGAGGAAAAAGAGAGAGAGAGAGAGCAGAACAATAATTTTAGCAAAATATAAGAAACTTTCCATATACTATTCTTCTCTTGTCGTCATATTCGGAATATATCTCTCATATAAACACTACCTTTTTTTGTTCCTTTCTTTCATTCTATCTTAACAAAATTCTATTAAGTAATCATGTCTCATCATTGGTCATTGATATCAATACTTATTTCAATAATCTTATTTCATATTACATATATACATTCAACTCCAATTCATTCTGAAATACCAAATCATATTGTCGACGGAGATTCTGATGAATATCAACGTATATATAATTCATTTATATATGCCGTGAAAAGTATTGCTAATGAACCAAATTCATATGAACGAATAAAATTACTTAATCAATTACGTGAATCTCTTAATCGGTTATGTATTAATGGATTTTTTGGAGCAACACATGCAGCAGCATGTCGACAAGTAGTTGATGTTATTCATCAAACATACGCAAATAATCATGCCAATGATGATGAAAATATTGATACATCCAATGAAGTACATGGAATACAAAAACGTTTCTTTTGTAATGGTTTTATTGGTTGTAAAAGTGCTTCGGGTTGACTAGCAGGTGATAGAAATCATGAAAAACGAAAAAAACAAAGTTAAACAAATGACTTTGAAGAAAAACAATATGATTATGCAGTTTTATTTTTAAAAATATTCATAAGAAAAATAAAACAAAATAAATCTTTGTTGTTTTTTTCTTCTTTCTTTCTATCTATTTATTTATTTATTTAATCTATCTATTTATTTATTTATTATTGATAAAAGTTCAGTTCCTTCACGAATACCACTTTCTAAAGCACCATGAACAGTTCCATAGAATTTTGCATTTGTTGCTTCACCAGCAAATTGTATTCTTGGAATCTTAAGAATAAAAACAAAGATACATTTTATTTATTAGGAAAAAAGTAATAATTGATTTATTAAATTTTTCTAAAGAGGAAACAACTGTACGTATTACTTTACTATTGCATCACTCATGTTCATCTACATAAAAAGAAATGTACTCTATTACATAGATTAATATCAATAAAACGGAAGTAATCAATGTATATTGCTTCCTCTTATAATGATTGTATCCGTCATTCATGATTTTTAGATTCTATTTGTAATGATTAATTTTTATTAAATGAAATCATTTTAGATTGAGAAAGAAAAAACTCATACCCCATCTGGTGCGTAACCAATTCGTAATTGTTCTCGATCTTTTGTTCTAGATTTTGTTGAACAATATGAATAAGATCCACGAACAAATCTATTTTTATACCATTCACTTCTATATACAAATTGTAAAAGAATGAAAAGATATATTCAATAGTAAATATCGTCCTACTTCAATACATGTTTCGGTTGATTCAACTCCGATGATATATTCAAATAGCTACATAAAACTTCATGACAAATTTGACCAATAACTTTTTCACTAAGATTTTCTAATAAAAGAGCAGCGGGACCAGCAAACCAACAGATCAAAACAGGAACCTCTGTTGATGATAATACTTCATACATATGAATTGCTTCAATAATTGTTTGAATATCAGTTTCCTTTGTATTTAATAATGCTTTTAATGATTCTACTAATGTCAATAATTTTTGTTTTTGTGTATGTAACAGAATAATTAGATGATTTTCTTCTGGCCAAAAACTTTTCTCATAAACCATTGCAACCTTATAAAACAATTCTTGAATATAACTTCATAATAATCTATCACCATTTTACCTTATTAATTGTATCAAATCCAAGATTATTAATTGCATTTTTTTTTTGTTCAATAAGTTGAATTTCATCACTAAATATTGATGAAAAATTTTCTTTTAAATATCCTAATGAACTTGTCCATATCATATGATCACATAGTATTGTACTTATTTCTTCTTCATTCGTCTTATTATGATGACGAATATGAACTAATAATTGATGACTATCTTCAAGATATTTTACTCGTATTACTTCGGAATTTAAACGAATTCGATTATCATCTAGTATGAAAGATTTCATATAGGAAATAAATGGACGATAACCACCATTTTTAAATTCATACTCATCTTCGCCATCGAGATATTCAAATGAACCGTATTCTGAATAATGTAGACATATATATGTATATAAGATTGAAAATCATGTACTTTACCTATTAAACTTAAGTCGGATAATGAAAGACAACCATTTTCAATTAATTCAATTGAGCTAAAATAATCAATAAGTCCATCGATTATATTATCTGAACAAGATAATGAAGATAATAAACGTTCCTTAAGATGTTTTTGTAAATAATCAGCAAGCGAATAATGTGCTGGTATTGTTGTATCACCAAATTTAGCTTGAGCTTCTTGAATTATATCCTCCCATACAAGTTTAGCTTTTTGCATTATTTCAGAATCAAGTTCCGTTCCATCTGATAATATAACCAAGACACCTATAGGAACAAACTTCAGTCATTTATTTTATGATTTCTCAATGTTAATCACTCTTGATTAATATATATATATATACCATTTTCTATATTATTTGAGTCATCGCTAATACAATTTAATTGTTCACAAATTTCATATAAAATATTTTTTTCTTTTCCATGAATAAATTGAGCACCCTATTCATAATTCTACTATAAAATAAGAAAAAGAATGATTTATTTTTTTACCACATCAACAGCAACATTTTCAGCTAATCAAAGATGAAAATCATAAAAATTATTTAGATAGTAATGAAAAAAAATGAAATAACCTGCATCAATTGTAAGAATACGACCGCCAAGATAATCTTGAGCTTCAATTAATAGATAATTAACATTTGGACCTAATGTTTTAGCAGCTCCTAGACCTGCTACACCTCCGCCAACAATAATTACCTTGCGATACTCCATTACATACAAAATGCACTCGTTTTTTTTTTATTCTTCTTACGAATATAACAAGCAGCCTACTTTGTTATCATGCTCGATTAATAGCTATAGATATACACGTGTTCTGTCGCGTATTTTGTATTTTTCTTTTGTGATAAAACGAATCATTCGAGAGTAAATACAAGGATAATGTTTCTTTGTTCGTGAAAAATATGTAATCGATAATACAAAAGAGAGATTTAGATTTTTATATAGTTAATTTGAATATATGAGAATATAAAACCATTAAAACGTTAAATAGTTATGAAACCGATACATTCAAAATTGATTTTTTAGAGATTATACTGATTCAGGTATAAATAGGATAATTTATCAAAAAACTTAATAATATGAAAGTTATTTAATGTTTGTTTCATGTTTTATATCTTAACACTTGACAGCCTTGTCATCATAAATGCAAAACAATATTAATATTTTCAGACTAGTCTGAGATGTTGTCTAGTGTTGAAAAAAAGGCAATTATTTTGATTGAAATATTCAGATTAATCTAAAGTATATTAGTCCTACGTTCATACAAATTTACATAAATATGAGTAGCTTATAAATCTAACTTTCAATTAGTATGTTATCATCATAAAGTCTTTTATGTTTTTCTTATAAATAAAGTTCGAAATTACAATATATTCCCATAAGCCGAATTTTTTATTGATATCACAATGTTATTCATAAACAGATAAAAAATAATTGTTCTATGCCGTAGCTGCTAAGCCTTTTTCTAGTATATTAAGAATAATAACATAAATTGGTGCAAATTCTTTTTGTTGTCGATTTCGAACAATTTGAACATATGTATCTAATGTTCCTCTAGAGAAAAAAATGAAATTTCATAAATATTTATTTAATAATAAATCAATCAACATACTTAATCATTGCTAATCGATCGCTCATTTTCGGATGTTCATCAAGCCATTGAATATATCGACTAATCGACCAATTCATTGCCTTAGAAAAATAAAACAATATGTATGTGTATGTGATAAAATAAGAATTATACTTGATGAGGTGAACGCATTTCACTTGGTGCCCTTGAAAATAAATGTTGAAGAACAATATCATATGGAACAATATCTCCAACAGCTGAATTATTTTGAATTTCATCTGTAGTTAAAATTAATAGAGAACGAAATGCTTTTAAAATTTTATAATGTTTTCCTAAATCTGTTAATCGACGACAAAATGGTGATAATGCAAGTTCAATTTGAGCAAAATCAACAACTAAACGTAATAATCCACCTTCAGCTATTGGTCGTACAAGACTAATATGTTCGATAAATAATGTTATTGCTCGACATGCAATTGGTGCGAGACTAAATTGTTTTCATAAAAGATTTCTTTCTAATTAATATCAGGTTAACTTACTTTTCATACATAAAATCTTTACATTGAAATTCACTAAAATAATCTTTATGAATACGAAATATAAATTCCTGTAATTCTTTCATATATAATGAACTTTGAGAATCAGTCCGACTTGATGCTATTCTAGAAAAAAACGAAATTATTTGTTTTCAATTGATTTATATTTACTGTGAAAAATCTTCGTTATGCATTGTAACTAAAATTGCTTCGATACAATCAGCAACTGAATTAAGAAATGGATGAATTGCTGTATTCATTAATGAATGAACACACTTTAGAAATGAGGAAAAAAAAGAAATGAAATGAAATTTTGATAGATTTTTTTTTACTTGTAAAGCATCAGTAATACGTGTTGTTGCAATTAATGAAAGATTTTGTTGTTCAGTAAGCATCTAAATTATAATAAATAGAGGTTAATTTTATGTTAAGAAAATCAAACTTTAGTAATCATTGAACAGAAATTGTAAAGAATATTAATTGCTGATATATTGCGTAATTGGGCAGGTGTTGGTGCAGATACAACTTGACTTCCTTCACTATCAGTACAGATCTATAGGGAAAAATAATAAATATTCATAAAAGAAACTTCTTCCTTATTTATTTTATACCGATTGTTCACATCTAAAAAGAAACTTTAAGATATAAATATATATTTCAAGGGCATACAACTTACTTAGCTGCAAATAATTGAATTGCTTTAGCAATATTGCGTGCTACTTTATTAACCAATGCTTCACTCACAGTTGTTACTGATAATTCACTAGAAATAAAAAAAAGATTTTTCAGTATGAGAGTAATATAGACTATTCGGTCTTAAATAAGATTCTTTTCTAGGGAACTGCAAAGTGTTCCCGGGACCGGGACCAAGACTGAAATTGTCAGCTAATTCCTCAATGTTTTTATCAAGTATGAGATCAGACATTTTCTTATTTCTTTTTTTTCTTTAATTAAGAATTGACAAATGTGTTATTTTATAGTTCAAGAAAAACCGTATAGATTGAATTTACAATCGAAAAAGCGAGAATTTTCGTGAACTTCATATTTTTTTTGCATAGATAAAGACAATAGCAGAACTATTCTTAAGTTTTTATCAAGACCGGGACCAAAAAAAGTGATTTTGCAGTTCCCTATTCTATTCTCTCTGATCTAGAATATCTCTTCTTCTTACTTAACAATAACTTTAACAAGATTTTCTAATTCTTGTTGTGTTGGTAATAATTTCATTGTACTACTACTAAACATAAGATTAATTGGATCGGATAAACGTGACAATGATATTGATAAATAGGATTGTTCAAATATATCAAAACATTCATTTAATTGTACACTTGTTCTGAAAACAAAATAGAATTCGATATTGATTAATAACAAACAAAAACGAACTTTTGTTTTTCATCTAATTGTTCTGAATCATTAGATTTTTCATCTATAATAGTATCCATTTCAATATCACTAAAACCTGGTTGTAATTGATTTAAACGATTAATTAAATCATTTTGTAATTTTAATAATTTCGGATATTCGCCTTCTAATGCTTGTTTTAAATGTAATGAATCTAGAAAAAACTAAATAAACAATTTTCTATTTCAATTTCTATTCATTACCTGATACTGATACTCTCAATTGTTTTCTTAATACTTTCATTGCACCCATCCAAAATTTACTAACTAATTCACCTGAATGATCATGCTAAAAATAAGAAAATAATATACTTTTTGTTTTGTTATATTAATAATATACTTTAATTAATTCATCCATAAAAGTTCCATGTGTTATTGGATCTTTCTTTTTCGTTAAAACTCTTGAAAGATTATATAATTGTGCAACGTTAACATATAATAAATCAAGTATTTTTTCAATATTTATCCATAATGATGCACGAAATTGTGGTGTATTACCAACACTAGGCATTGTTGAACGTCCGGGATTTGATGCTGAAAAATAAAAGTTTTATTTTCTATAGAAAAATTCTTCTGATTTAATTAAATACAAACGATCTTTATTTTTTGATAATTGTTTTAAATCAAGACAATCAGCAATTTGTGTTTGAAAATTTTTTAAAAGACGTTGTTCAATTGATTGAACATGATCATGAAGTGTACCCAAATTAAAAAATACTTGTAATGCTGTACCAATTTGAGCAGGATTCTTATCAATAGAAGGAAAAAAAACCCAACAATTAAATATTTTATTAAAAAGAAATATATACTAAATGATGAAGACCATTTTCTAAAACATCTTGTGCTTGTGTTTGAATATCATGACGAGCTTTAAAAACAAATTGAAGATCTTTTTCAACAGCATCAATACCCGTAAAATCAGCATCAACTGTGAAATGCTCTGAAAAAACAATTATTTTTGAAGAAAAGTGTTTTCTTTTATGGGAATGAATTCTAACCTAATTCATTTAAACATTGAGAAGCTTTAACTAATTCAATTTGTTGTTGACCTGTATTTGTAGGTGCCATAAATTTTTCTAGTTTTTTTGTTTGTTGCATTATTCCTTTAATACGTCGAAGAAGATCACATGTATTCTATACACAAAATAATCATTTTTATTAATAAGGAATAGATAGAAAGATTTTACTTGTAGACGAGTTAATTGATTTTTTCGACTTAAGATTTTATTATATGGTTCAGTAACTTTTGAAGAGATTCTATTTAAATAAAAAAGATATTTTAATTGAATTATTAAAGAAATTTATTCTTTCGAAAAACATTTCTTCCTATTCAAATTAAGTTCAAAAAATTTTATTTGATTATCAAGAAATATTTCGAAAGATGTAGTCTCTAGTTGAAAAGGAGTTTTTCATCATATTTCAGAATATAAAACCTAACATTGTCTTATTTAAACAAGAAATTGTTAGCTACTTTAAATAATAATCATTTTTCTTCATTTTATGAAGAATCATCAATACGAATTATGGTAACATCTTATGTCTTTCATTACAGTTAACTAAGATGTGCAAAATCAAATGCTTGGTAACGCTTGTAATAAATAACTAATGAAGTTTAAGCACAATATTAGTAAGTGAGGCAATTCTGAGTTTCTTTCTGTAAAATTCAAATATTCATTATTAATCTACCATACATACAATGGAAGAAAAAGTTAAACTCTAACAAATAAGTAGAGTCCTGCATGGGAACAAAAAACATTTCTATTCCCGAAGGAAAAGCTCGGAATCTTTCCGTCAGTTCCAATGCTAAAAGTTAACTTATTGTTACGTTTTATATAGAAATATTGTTCCTGAACTTTTTGTTAATTGAATTACTTGGCAGCAAAGGACTACTATTCCGAGCTTTTTCTCCGGAAATAGATCTAATGAGATTTATCAGTTTTCTGTTTTCTATATAAATATTTTTACAGAATAAAACAATAAATTAATTCTCTGAAAAACCTGTCTGCAGTTGCTTTCAATGATTTAATACGCGTTTGCATATTCTCTAAAACATCTTCAATTGTTCCAATCGAAGATGCTTGACGAAAAAGAATTGGTGCATTTGATGATACCTTAAACAAAATTCTCATAGAAAAACGAAGGGAAATATCCAAAAAAAATTTACTTGTTGTTTTATTTCCGCATCAAGTGTTCGTATAAGTTCATTTAAATGTTGTAAATAATCTGTTACAATTTGTGTTTGTAAAATATTTGCTGAAAATGATTTTATATCAAAATCATCTTCAATAAAATCTTTGAATGATTCTAAATAAAATATCAATAAATAACTATTCGTTCATTCATTATCATTTTGTATCTAGTTTTTACCATCATTTAAAATTGTACATTCCATCTACAAATATTAGAGATATTTTCAGTTCTTTTGTGGTTTATTCATGAAGAGAAAAAAAAAACAAACAGATACGAAAAAAAGTAAACAAATGTGGGTTATTTAACAGATTTGAATCACTGCTAGGATTTTTGTCGAATGTATTTTCTTTATCTATTTGTTTTTTTTTTCTTTTACCATTTTTAAACGTACAACAACCAACAAGAAACAGAAAAAAGAAATGAATGAAAGATAGTAAGAGAGCGAAGAATATGACAAAACAACAGGAAATAGTTATGGTAGTGAAAAACGAACGAACAAGTGCATTGAATAAAGATAAACACATGTGTTAGGAGTAAAAAGAAAAGAACACATGTATCATTGTCTGATATTTGCAGTTCTTTAATCGAAAAAAAAAAATGCAAGAGAGATAAAAAAAAATAATATAACAGCTATTGAATCAATGCAGCAAGTGTGTTGCTCTTTGATGATGGAATATCAGTAGATGACGAATTGGTTGATGTTTTTGATTGATCATTATGTTCGTCTTTTTCATCATCATCATCATCATCATGCTCATTTTTTATTAGCGCCTAAAACAAAAAATTTATAATATTAAAATAAATAATATCTAGTATAGAATTGATATGGGATTAAAGAAATAATTTGCAAACTAGCAACTGAAGGATTGAATATATCAATATATTCTTATAAAGATAAAATTGTGATTTTACAATTGTGTACACAAGTGCATTTATTATTCGGATACATGTATCATTTACAAATCTCTACTCATTATAAAAGATTAACAATAAATTTCTATCATTCTTATCTTAAAAAATTTGTTACTCTTTCTGTTGATTGAAAATTCTGTCAGTTACACATAAAAATTTGTGTTAATTAGTTATAAAGAACAAGTCAATTCTTGGCATCAGAAAGCAATTATAACTGCAACAATCACCTGAAGGCAAAATCTAGCATAGCAATGAGAATGCAATTAAAATAGCTAACTCACGAATTAGATTTTTGAAAAACTAAAAGAATTAAAAGAGAGAAATGTCTCGAAAACTAACTTGCAAACATGTATATAAAATCTTATGTTCATGGTTACATGAAATCAGTGAAGAAAGTAAGTGCATATGGTTGTTTGCAAAAAAAAACAAAACACAAAACAAGATGATTTCTTGTGTAGAATAGATAAGTATGTGAATTTTATGCATACAGAGCAACACCCAAATAGGCGAAACTATGCAAACAAATTAGAATATGATAATACCGCGTTGATGTTGTTGCATATCGCTGAAAGATATTTTTGTTTTATACACATATATCTTTTTATTATTTTACTTAAGAAAAAATAGGAGCCGAAATAGGATTTTTATTTACCCCGCTGCTTGTAGTTCCGGCAGGATGGTTTCCTTTTGCTATTGAATCTAATGCATTTTCAAATACTGTACGTCTATTGAAGAAAGAAATGAAACATTATTATTATTATGAAGAAAATTTTTTTTTTCCTAACTTAGAAATAAAACCACCACCAGGGGGTAGTGCTTCGCGAATAGATGGATGTTCATTAAGAGATGTGACAACTTGTTGCCATAATGTATTCGAATCAAAACCTGCTTTGTTTCCCGAACGATTAAAAATTTCTATAAAATTTCGAAAAATATTATTTGAATAAAAAGAGAAAATGTAAATACCATAAGTTTTTTTTCTTATTTCACTATCTAATCCATCATCTCTTGTCTTGCATTCCGTAGTTGGTGTAGGTGCATTTTTAAAAGCAATGATAACTACACTCATATTATCTTTACTACCCTATGTAAACAAAAAATTTCATTAAATTAAATTTTCGAAATCAATATAAATTTCATACTTTATACAAACACATATCAAGTATTGAATTACATATTTCAGTAAGATCATCTGTAACATGCATTCGACCAATTATATATGCAGCTAATTCTTCATTTGTAATGACATCCCATATACCATCACAAGCAAGTACAATAAAAGCAACTTGTTCTTCTTGTTTACCAGCATTCGTAGATAAATTACGTGTATGACTTGTAATTTCGGGTTCAGGTGAAACAAGTTGTTGATCTGGTCGACGATTTGAATTATTTTTATATTCATAATCTCCCAATGCACGTGATACAGCTAATGAACCATTTACACGTTGAATTAAAACAGTACCACCGGCTTCTTGAATTCTTTGTCGTTCAGCTGAATCATCTAAGAAAATATTCATTTTTTAATTTTTTGTTTTTCAATAGAATCAAATATCTACTTGGTTTATGATCTTTTGTAGCAAGAAGAACTCGACCTTCAGTTGATACAAGAATACCACGAGAATCACCAACATTTAAAAAATAAATTCGTTCAGCATCAATTAAACAAGAAATAGCTGTTGAACCACTTTTATCATCTAAATAAAAATTATTTTTATAATCATAAATGCTATTTGTTTGTTTTCTTAAATACCTGAACTTGTACTACGATTTTCTTCTCTCCATTCATTATCAAATTTAAAATAAGCATCTTTGATAGCCATTTCAAATTTATGAAAATCAAGTTGAGATGATGTTATATGTGATGTTGATTTTTGATCTGGTACTAATGTATTAAGTGATGTTAGAATACGTAAATGAAGTTTTTCAGCAGCTTTAACAGCTGTACGAAATCCAGCATGACCATCGAATACACCGAAATAAGACCAATGTGACCAACGATTATCATCTAATTTTAGTATAGTTGCATGTGCATCTTCCATATCCACACTAAATTTTATGAAAAAAACAAAAATTCGATAAAAAAAATTCTTTATTTTATCTACCGCCATCCTTGCATAGATCCAAGTGCATATCGAATATCATCGTTTTTGCCACGATCATTATGTTTTTCAACTTTAGGTTTTTCCAGAAATTGACCCATTGGTCTAAATAAAATAAACATAAAAGATAAACAATTTTCAATTATTACTATTTTCTCTATGGAAAAATTCTACGAAAAAGAAAACACACAAGAAACTTAACAAACTTGATATTGTACGTAGTCAAAACAGTTTCCGATGATAATAAATCATGATGACCAATTGATCCACGAACGACTGATATAGCAAAACGTACTAAACGTCGTCGACAATGATCAAATATATTCTCATTCATATATTTATTATTTTCTCTTATAACTTCGAAAAACGTACTAATATATTTATTGTCTATTAGTTTTAAGATACGATCGACACCACCTGGATTTACATACCCAAGATAAGTTTTTAAAAACATAGCTCTCTCTCGTTTGTATCAGATACATCAAAAAAATACTATAGTATTCGTAATCAAATGTCAACAATAGTTGGTGTATGAATTCAAATAAACATAATGATAATAATCTTACATGTCACGAGTATATCATTTTATTTTTAAGTTATGAAAAAACGAAACAGAACACTTACCTGTTAGTTTATTGTATGAAAAAAGCACACACGCACACACTTAATAATATTTCTAATTTTAACCGTGATTAATGAATGTTCTAAAAATAAAGACATGAATCAAAAACAAATATTCTTTGAATATATCTTACGTGAAAGAAAAAAACATTTATTTTATAATATAAATCGAAAAAAGAATACAAATTTAATTCTAAAATCAAAATAAAATTCGAATTTTTATTGATTTTTAAGAAGAAGAACAAAACAAAACAAAACTCAATATCAGTATGAAATAGTAAAAAAAACTTACAGAACTATTTTTATTCATCGATAAATATATCTAACTGAAGAAACATAATCAATGTTTGTTTCTTCAATCATATTTTGATTGCATAAATAAGACAAAATAAAAAAATATAACGTAAAACAAAACGCGCTTCAAATTTTTCTTAATTTAAATTCGAAAAAAAAGAAATAATATGACTCTGTAGAAAAATATTTATGACTGTATTTGTAATCAAAGACATATTGTCGTGTTATTTATCGAAGAAAAAAAAGTCTCATCTCTTACCTATAACTATCTTATACATGAGAAACTTCATTCAGTTGTTTAAAAGCCACATATTTATCATAATAAAGAACAAGATCCATAGCTATCAACTTAATTCAATAGTAGTTATATCCTATTTTCCAAATCGGTACCTCTTCAAATGAAGTTCTCTCTCTCTTTATTTCTATCTAATCAGACTAAATCTGAAATTCTTTAACTAAATAAAATTATTTTTTTCTTAGAAATTTTATAAATTCTTTTTGAATATTTTTCTCTCATAGATATAGTTATACTTAATCAAAAATAAAAAAGTAAAATACTTCAATTATCTAGAAGAAAATCTATTTTATAAAAATGTTATGATCAGTCATGCGAAAAAATCTTTCTAAACGAAAAATGAATGATCGTGATGAGTAGGCGAGTTTAAAAATGATTTCTATTTTTTTTGTTTGTTCTTTCATTCTCTATTATTTGCTCGTTGTTATCGCCATTGACAAACATTTTTGTTCTCTACTTTAATAGAAAGATTTTTTATTGGAGTAAATTTCAATCAATCATGATAAATAATAGATGGCATTATCGAACTAATGTTATAATTTTATATTTCAGATTAAATTTTCTATACTTTTTTTTCCTCTTAAGCAATAAACAATATCAATGATTGGACATATTTACTCATCTTATAACATGAGAATATCTAGTAGAAGAAACGCAAAAGAAACAGAGTTCGATGAATGGTAACGAATATTAATGTTCTTTTTCTTTATGTAGATTATTTATACGTAATTTGAATATTGAAACAAAAAACGTTCGAAAGATATGCCATAAAATATCGGTAAGAATACAAATAAATAAATTCGATAATTGTTTTCTTTTTGATTTTAGACGATTTGAATTCTTATAAACATGAGTGGTTTAAAAGTCGTTTTATTAACAGAATCTGATTCCCTAAAGCAAGATGTACCTTTACTATATAAATCTAGCGGACAAAAGCTATGGGATACAATTCGAAGTATTGTTAGTGAACTTCATTATTGTTGTGAAACAGTTGAATTGAATAAACTTGATTTTCAAGAACATGAATCAGTTAATAAATTTCTTAACGCTGCGATTGTTATTATGGTTAGAGAAAATTCTATTTTTTTTTAATTATTGTAATTTATTTTGTTAATTATAGGATGTGACAAATCAAGATTGTCGCCCATCATTTATGTACCATAAAGGCAATCGTGAAAGTGTAGATTGTATTGATGATATTGTATTAATTCAAGCGAGTGGTCTTGAAAATGATAATACTATTCAAGATTTGAAAGTAAGTAATCTTTTGTTTTTAATTTAAGAAAATAATTGTAATTTTGTTTTTAGACAACATGTAAAATAAAACAATTAATTGTATATCGATATGATGAAAAAAAAGATAGTTTTTATGATGTTACAACACCAACAAATCCGCCGACATCACTTAAAAAAAATCTGAAACATCTTCTACGTGAAGCTGCTAATAATATGCAGTAAAATCTTATATAAATTATTCTTTTGTTTTTTACTTTAATATTCGTAGACAAGGACTTTCTACTCGATATTTAAATCTCATGGAGAAACGTAAAAATAATGTTAATGATAAAAATGCTGAACGTATTGTATGTTTAATTGATTAATAAACTAAAATCTCCATTTTTCGTCTATCATTTTAGTATTTATGGAAAGAAATTTGTGATGAAATCTTAACTGAAACAAATCAACGATATGCTACACCAAAATTAATTATAAGTTTAATGTATGCTTTTCGAGATATTCAAGTAAAAAGGGATTGAAATATATATATGATAATGCGTATTTATTTTTTGAAGGATTATCAATCAATGATAGAATTAATTGAACGTTGTGAACAATATGAAACGATTTCTATGAATATTCAAAATAATATGTTGATTTCATATTTAACAGCATTTGCTCGTAGTCGGTAAATATAAAGAACGACAAATAATAATTAAGATGTATATATGATTTCTTAGACGAAATGAAAATAATGATCGTGATAAAGCATTAGAAATTCTTGAAAGATTATGTCAAACAAAAAGAACAGAAAGTGAACTATCAAATGATATTATTTGTTTACGTGGAAGAATTTATAAAGATAAATATACAGAATCAAATTGTCAAGATAAAGATTCATTAGAAAAAGCTATCGAATGGTATCGAAAAGGTTTTGCTGCTGATCCGAATATTTAGTAAATAATAAAAAAAATATTAATAATTGAGTTTGATGTTAATCATTTTAGTGCTGGAATTAATTTACTATTACTTTTAGCAATTACAACAGATGATTTAATAAAGAATAATGAAGCATATAAAATCAGTAAGTTGATTGAAATGTTTTTAAACAGTCGAAATACGGATGAATAATAGAGATTGATGTTGAATTTAATATCTAGCTTTTATTGCTTATAAAAATTGGTATTTTTTATTGATTTCAAAATTTGCATATGCTCTTTCATCCTATCAAGGTTATTTTTAAAAATACTACTCTAATATAATAATCTGCAAAGTCATTTTTATTCTTCCGGAACAGTATATATTCCAATTCGCTAAAACCTTTTCTCTAACAATATGAAAAGATGCTTTGAATTCTCTATGATCTCTAAATATGAAAGGAAAGATTCATGAGCAAACCAGTGGTAGATTTAGGGGGGGGGGGACGATCTCCCCTCCCTTCCGAATTTTTTACCACAAAAATGAACGAAAAAATAGGTTCACACTACGTCGGTTGGACTCAAAAAATAACTTTTAACCAAAATCGCCCCCCTCCCCAGGTATCGCTCCTCCATAATAAAAAAAAAACCCCCCCCCCCCCCCCCCGCCTCCTTCCAAAATCCTAGATCCGCCACTGGAGCAAACGATAATAAAATGAGCATCAGTTTATAATCATTCTTCTTCTTCTTAGTTATACAACTGAATGCATTACTTGGTAAAAAAGGTCGTTCTTTGAAAGATTTAAATGATTACTGGGATGTTGCAACTTATTTTGAATTACATGCTGTTCAACATGATTGGTTAAAAGCTTGTCAAGCAGCTTTACATATGTATTCATTAAATCCTCCTATATGGTATTTAAAATCTACAATAAATAATTTGAAAATCCTTCATCAAGCAACACGTATACGTGTTCAACAAAGACCACGTGAATCATCACAAACTACATCTGCTGGTGAAGATATTTATAGTTTTTGGATAGATTTTTTTAGTGATGCAATTAATTCTCATTCTACATCAACTGAAGAAAGAGAATTACCAGCACAAGTCCCTGTATGTTATCCCTAAATTACTTATCTTTCTCTATAACGAAGTATGATCTTTTCAGATTCTTGTTTGTGAAAATTATGAAAAAACTGATGGAACAATATTGAATAATATATATATTGCCGCATATTTACAATTAAATTTTCATACGGGGAGTGAACGTGAAACACTTGTTATCCGTATACTTGAACAACAAAAACAAATACATCATGGTGATCTTATTAAAACGATTGAAATGAATTCAATTCGATCAATTTTGTAAGAATTTATTTGATAAAAATAAAATATTTATGTGTCTTTTTTTAAGAAATGTTAAATATGATAATCGATCGATATTTTTATATGCATATGAAAATTCTGAAACATTTTCATCTGTTGAAGTTCAAATATATTTTGCATCAGCAGAACGACGAACAGCGTAAGTTTCTCTCTGAACTATATTCATTCATTCATTCTTATTTATTTTCTACATAGATTTAATGAAAAAATGTCAAAATATCGAGTAGAACCAAATACACCAGAAGCTAAATTAGAATTTGATGTAAGTCAAGATAAATTAATCTATAAAAGACTTTTATGGAGTTTTTTTTAGCTTGAATTCGATCGTGATCAACAAGGTCAACGTATTGCTCTTGGTCAAGGAACATATGGAAAAGTTTATGTAGCAGAAGATAAAATCACATTTAAAAAATTTGCTGTTAAAGAAATTCCAGTGCGTAATCCTGGTTATACAGAAGTTCTTGAAAATGAAATAAAAATTTTATCAACACTCAATCATAAAAATAGTTAGTTTTATTGTTCATAAAAATTAAATAATTATTTTTTTATAATTCCTTATAGTTGTTAGTTATTATGGTACTGCTATTGATTCAAAAAAGAAACCTCCAGTTTTTCAAGTTATTATGGAATATGTTGACGGGTGAGAAAATAAGAATCATTAAAGATTTTATTGTTTTGATTATTTTTAGTGGAAGTCTTTCAACTCATCTATCGAAATTTGGACAATTTCGTGAAGCATCAATTAAAAATTATACTCGACAACTTCTTGAAGGTGTACAATATTTACATGAGAATCAAATTGTACATCGAGATATTAAATCAGCTAATATTCTTGTTAATTCAAAAGGGTAATTAAATAGAAATATTTTTAAATTCTTTTATTCTAACTGATTTATATAATTAAGAGAAATAAAAATTGCTGATTTTGGTACATCGAAACGTCTTGCAGGTCTTCATCTTTGTACCGAAGATAATGTTGGTAAGATTATATTATATATCGGAAGTAGGGGTGCAACGGTGACGATCATTAATCGCTATACCGGCGAATCGGTGAACCGGTGAAACGGTAACCGGTTAGACCGGTGAACCGCTGAGACGATAATCGTTCGAACCGGTGAAAGCCGGTAAATGCTTTAAAACCTACGGTGAAGACCGATACTTTGGCACCATTAGTCACCGTTTTTCTGAAGGAGTATGAATTAATTTATATACCGGTCTTCACCGTAGGTTTTAAAGCGTTTACCGGCTTTCACCGTTGGATCGGGTAATCGTCACCGTTTCACCGGTCCAAACGGTTATCGTTTCACCGATCCAAGCGGTTGTCGTTTCACCGGTTCGAACAGTTACCGTTCAGCTACGGTTAACGGTGAGCCGGTTTTCGTCACCTTTGCACACCTAATCGGAAGAGAGAGAAAGTACTAAATCATGTGAATATTTATTTTTAGGAACTCTTCAGTATATGTGTCCTGATGTTGTTCTTGTACCTGCGACGGGTTATGGTCCAGGAGTATATAATTAATATGAAAAAATATAATAGTTTCCTTTACCTTCTTTTGCTAATAAATTTAGGTTGATATATGGAGTGTTGGATGTACAGTAATTGAAATGGCAACTGGTAAAAGACCATTTCATAATGTAGTAAATCAGTATGCACTTTTACTTAAACTTGGTAATGATAAACAACCACCTGATATTCCATCTGAATTAACTGATGCAGCAAAAGATTTTCTAGCCAAGTAGATTATAAATTTTATTTTCAATATAAATACTTACTTTTTATTAATTAGATGTTTTGAGCCAACACAAAAGCGTCCATCTGCAAAAGATTTATTAAATCATCCATTTCTCAAGTAAGTTGGTTTTTTTTCTTTCAAATAAAATAATATCGATGATTATATAGCTCGAAATTAATACTAAGAGTAAAAAAACATCCCTTATCTATATTTTGTACTATAAATATAAATGACTCATTAACTCTTGAGTCAAAAAGAAAATAGTAAAGATTGAAATTTGATTATTTAATAACGAATAAATTGGATAAATGATTCGATGATGGAATTGGTTATATTGACAAGCTTTTCATATATAAGGTGTTTTTTTTCTTGGTAAATATGTGTCAGTAAATACAGGATTTTAGAGCTTATTGACATTATTACTAACTGCCAGTGCTTGAATACCATTATAAGTCATTCATTCGTGGGAGTTAAATGAAAACATACATTTCTTGTCACTGAACAAATATAATACAACGTCTTTTTTTTGTGTACAGGATAAATATTAAGATCAAAGTATCCCATGTTAATATATAGCTCGAAGTCCATAAACAAGAGCACTTTTTCTAATCATAACATGTAATATGGGAAGGTTTCATTTTCCCTTATATCATATGTCGTCACCGTCTTATTGTTTTATTTAGAATAAAAAATGGTTTAAACCGGGAGACAAGTAATAGTAAGTTTATTTTTTTAAAAATTTAACAATACATTTATTCTTTTTTAAGATCATATTGGTGACAAAACTGAAAAGTAAGAGTATCTCATAATTACAACAGATAGATATGAATAAATTGAATTTATTAGTCAAATACGTTTATCGGATTCATCATCGACTTTACATCGAAGTGCAAGTGAAGATAGTGGTAGCATGTCATTTGAGTATGAATCAATAATAATAATAGATGATCGATGAATTTTTGTTTTTATAGACCAGCTCGTAGTCTAGCAGCTCAAGTATCTCTTGATGATTGTCGTCGATATGAATTAGCGAATATTTTACGTGATAAACCAAATCGAGAAATGGTAAAAACTCATAGAAATAAATTCTTAAAACATATTTTATTTATTTCTAGCTTATCGGTCAATGGATGTATTTAATAGAAGAAAAACAAGAAACAGAAATACTAAATATTGTAATTAAAATTTCCTTGGTTAAGAATAAAAAGAATCTTCTTCGATTAATTTAGGCAAAACTACTAATTTTATTATCTGGTATTTGTGATTATCTTGATAAGGGAAATGTAGATTCATTAGAAAATGCATTAGGTAAAAAGAAATTTTATTTTTTTGTATTGAATTAAAAGAAATTATTTGTAGATAAAGTTTGTGATAGAACATCAATGGATGATGATTTAAGAATTGATCTTGAACGATCATTTTATCTATTTATAAAAGCTGTATGATTAATGATTCAATTTCAAAATACCAAAATCGATTAAAATTTTTCTGTTTTAGGCAAATAATGTTCTTACAACAAGAAATATTCTACCTCCACATGTTTTATTTGCATTGGATAATATTATTCGTCGGATTGCCGAACATCTTGTTGGTCTTATTCGATCAGGTTTGATTACCTCTTTTAGATTTTTATTTATTAAAATTTTCTATTTTAGATTTTAAAACTGCTACTAATAATATGATACCAAGTACACCTAATAATGATTACCGATGTAATGCAACACATTCACGTACAGTATCAACTAGTAGTTTTGATGGAAGTACAAATGATGAAACAGCACGTTTATATCAACAATATAGAAAACTTGCTGAAAAAAATCATGAGTAATTATAAAATTGAATGATATAATCTTGTTAAGTGTTTTATTTTTAAGTCAACTTAATCAATTGATTAAAATTGAAAGTGACAATGAAATAAGATTAACTGAATTATTAACTACTCAACAAAATAATATATCAAGGTATATAAAAATCAAAATTGCTTATCAAATTTATGAACATAGATATGCATATTTTATTTTTTAGTAAAGCAGCAGAGATATTTTTTCCTGTTGAATCATCAACACCAGCAGAAGAAACAAATGAAATTCGTATAACACCAATGGCAGCAGTATCAAAAGGAATCAAGTATTTTCTTGTACTATGTCGTTGAATTTATAATATTATGTTTGGGTTTTTTTCTAGACGTTCACGTACACTTTTTGAACTTGAACAAGAACATGAACGACTACTTAAACATATTACTGATAATCGTATCCGTGTAAATGAAGTACTTCAATCATAATATTATAGTCTTTTGTAGGATATAGAGAGAAGTGATCTGTATGTTATCAATGTGTCAAGAACTTTATTTGATCAAATATTCTTTATTATTAAACCAACATTTGGTTTGTTTAGCTTTGTAAGAACGAACAGTTTTTTTGTATCTTATCTGCGGAGAATTTTGGAATAGCGAATGACGATTCTGCTCGAATGTATTTTTTAACAATCCGGTAATGCACGGTTTTGATGTGTATAATTGTATGTGCACTTTTATATTTTTTTGTATAATACCGATATTATGATTAGTGTGTATGTGTGTTTTTTTGACGAAAATATACGCAAGATATAAATATTTAAGATTAATAATGTTCTTCTTATTTCCTCGATGAATATTTTTCGACAAAAAAATAGGTGGATGGCAGATTGGACATGATTCTCCATGAGTTTGGAGGCCTATCTAATCAATACGTCTTTCATTTATTTCCATCCTTATCTATAAATTAATGTTGATAAATATATTTATTTATATTGAACATAACAATTAAAAATGAACAACATGATATCACTGTTTTAATGTACAATTACAGATATTTTCTATTCATTTATCCTATTCGATATATTGTAAACATTACAATTCTATTTAGAAAGAAAAATTCATCTGTTTAGTGAAATTGAATTATTATAATTTTGTTCACTTATATTGTTTCTTATCGAATTATGTTTGTATATTGGTCAACTAACAGAATATTACCAGTAAAATGACTATATTTGATGATATATAACTTCATTAATAAGGACTATGTCGTATAAAAGATCTCAAGTTAAACAATAAAGAATAAATGATATATCAAATGAATTTTTCGTATTATAATTCTGTTTGTATATTTTTCGTGCTTCGAACGACAACTTTCACAATTATATTATCGATTAGAAGTTAAAATGATAAGCGAATACTTCTTACGATTGTTAAATTCATCTACATGATATATTCAGAGACTGAATAGCGAATTTGATTAATTAATTGAAGACCTCGTATTCAATGAATAACTATCATCATAAATTTAATTTATTATTAAATACATTCTGAATTATATAAATAAGATGGCTCACTAATCGGAATATTACCAAGTAATTGAATGTTTCTAATTATTAAAGTTTTATTCAAATATTCTATATAATATTCATTCAAAAATTATTATTGAATCGATGAACAGAAAATTCCACATCATCTGAATAAAAACAATTGCAACTATAATATTACTATTCATGTTTCTTCCGTGTATTTAATAAAAACAATTCATCCGTATATTGATTGGAAGATAGATGATAATTGTATAATTATAACCATCATCCTTATGTTCATCTATTTTTTAGGATAAATAAAAATATTCTGGAGTTAATAGTTGCTTGACAGTTATACGACACACGTACAATGCTTAGGAAAACACTATTCGTTTTTCTTAGTGACTTTATGCTAGAGATTGTTAAGTTCTTGATCGATTCAACATCATGAGGCACATGTAGGATAACAACGCTTCGTATATTTTCCTTTCTTCTTCGTTATAAATAAAAGCTCAGAAATGAAACACATGTACAAAGATGATATGGTACATGAACAATTGTTTTCCAATGACTGTATTCACCAAATAGTTATGTCTACATTTGGAAATTTCAATTTGCCATGTTGTTGAAAATCGTATGATCAATGAACAATTATAATATTGGTCAAAATCATATTCAATTATTTGCTTCGTTTCGAAGAAAAAGCTTGACGAAAGTTAGAGAATCATAATTGATACAGGAACCGACTGAAGTTGAAAGCGAATGTGTTCATTTATTTAATTTCTTTCGCCAAAAACTTTCCATTTTAACATCATTATTCACTTGTCTTTAATTCATGAATATAAATATACCAAACAATATATTCACTACACTATTGTACAACGATGTAAAAGTTCTTGATTTTCTGATTCATACAAGACCAGATGGCAAATGAACAGTTATTATCAAGATATTGTTTATATATTATGTTCATATTTAATTAAAGTTTGCAGTTAGTAATTGAGTTGAATCATCGATTAACTGTATAGATACAACGACAGTTGCCATTGGATTGATCATTTATTTCGCTCGAATTGAATCCATGAAACTCAGTTGAATTCACAATCAAATATTACATGAAAAATGAATAAATATTACATTTTCGACAAGTTCGACCACCAAAGTTCGAGTCATCTATTCTAGCTTTTTTCAAATAAAGATTTTATGTTGATATTTTGATAGATGATTTCATAAGAAACAAATAACGATAACAATAATTTCATTTATATATCTAGCTCAATTAACTACAAAAGCTTTATAGTAACATGTTGAATAGAAACTACATAACAAATGAATAATTATTAGCAAGTTGCGATTGAGATACAACTGTAGCTACTTGTGATCCTCCTAAATGGAATGATTTTTTTAGAGTAAATAACTATTTGATTCATCGTATTTTAAATTATTTCTATTTATATACTTACTCATTAGTGTATTTCTTACGGATACTGTTTGATTATCATTTTGTTTCCATAAATTCTTAAGTTGTGTAATTTCATTAGATTGTCCTTCAATTTTTTTTGCTTGTTGATCCAACTGTTCTTTTAATTGTTTCGTATCATGTTGATATTCTTTAATATGACTTGTCAATTGAGTTACATGTTGCTTAAGTTGATGATTTTCATTGAATAATGAAACAATTAATGGTCGTAATGATTGATAAGTACAGTGTTTTAAATGACGACTAAGTTGATTTGGATGTCCTGTCCATGAACATTTGATATCTTGTGCAGGACACGATACAATAGCTGATAGGCATGAATTCTTTAAATGATTATTGAAATCACCTCTCTCAAGATCTGTCTTTCCACAACGAATACATTTTACTCGTAATTCATTAAGTACATCTACTACAATATCTTCGGTAATTGATATGAGATCTTCAGAATTTAAATTTCGACGACAAGTTGGACATGATGAATTCTGTTTTAACCATTGTTCAATACATTGACGACAAAATTTATGTTTTTTCTTACAATTTGTTGATACAGGATGTACAAATGGTTGATTGCAAATACTACATTTTAATGAATGATTTATCGAATCTTCATTCATATATTCAAATCCAATATCACTTCCCATTGATTTTGTTTATTTTCAATTATATCTAGAAATAATCGAAATGTAAGTATATTTGATTTAATGAATTGTTTATAATAAAAATTCCGCGAGACACATGATTCTGTTTGATTATTTCCTTGGCTTCTATTCATTGGTTTATTCTTTATTTATTAAACAAGATTGAAGTATTTTCTAATAACTATTCTTATCAAATACTGTCTCACATACCTACTTTCATTTTTGAATGAAAAAATGTGAATAGATAACAAAATTTACCTTTAAAAATCAACTTTTTTTTCTTCATTTCGTATACACTTCACTGTGTAAGTACACAACATGATATGATAAAATTATTCTTTTGTGTTGGTTATTTATGGATATATATTTTTTTTCTTCCTTATCTTTTTTCTTTACAATCGAAAAATTAAATATGTCACGATTTTAAGTACATCGAACTAATACAATTATACAAAATTTAAAATTAATATTTAACAATATCATAATAATAATATATATCGACATAAATTAAACTTTTTATTAGAATTATAACCGCTAAGTATGTCATTGTTAAAAACATTTAAAAAAATCTTTTGTTATCAAATAATATGTTATGACTCATAATTATTTCAAAAGTAGGTATGATCTTACTGTATGATGAAATATACAGAAATTCTGTGAATAGTGAAATAAAAAGAACAGGTGTATTTCAATATTTATACAAATAAGACGTAATCAGAAACAACATGAATGTTTGTTTTATACATTATTTTCTTGATCAGCGAATAGGATATCTTTTATTATTCCTTCTTCATGTAATCATCTTTAATAGATGATGATATCTTCGTGATCAGTTAAAAGAGGTCAAAAAAGAAACTGAACATTTCTCTCTCATAAGTTGACTAGACCTATCGAATACAATATAGATAGAACAATATAAAATAAAGAAATAGATAGAATCATATAATAACATATGTATATCTTCTCGATAATCCCTGGATAAGCTTTGTTATTCCTTTAACAATGCTTTTATATAAACTATAAATGCACATACATTTACATTATAACATATATTTCTGTTTACATTTCAATAATGTATATCCTTTTGATTGTTACTTGTTTTTTATTAACCTTCCAGGTTAACGCACGTAAAAGTAAGTTAATTAAATACAAAATAATACTTGAAAAATATATTAAATTAATTATTTTATTTAGTATATATATATGAAAGAGATGCATCATATAATCCATGTGTAAGTGGTTCAGGTGTATACTTTTATCCAGATCCTACGAATCCACATAGATATTATCAATGTGATGCTTCTGGAAAATTCTATTTACAAACATGTGCTTCTGATCTCGTATGGGATGATCTTATTACGGCTTGTAATTATGCATCAGCTGTAGCACCATCATCAGGTGGAGCTTCATCAGGATCATCATCAGGTGGAGGTTCACCATCACCACCAGATGATAGTTCAGAAACACCATCAAGTGGAGCTTCATCAGGATCATCATCAGGTGGAGGTTCGCCATCACCACCAGATGACAGTTCAGAAACACCATCAAGTGGAGCTTCATCAGGATCATCATCAAGTGGAAGTTCAAAACCATCATCAAGTGGAAATTTAGGACCAACACAAATATGTATATATTTGAAATTATTATGCAAAAATAGACTTTTTAATATTTATACATAGCTTTTCCAAGTTCACCATCAGATAAACCTCCTGCTACGATACAAAAACCAAGCTCATCTGCCAGTAGCTCATCTGCTAGCAGCTCATCGGTCAGCAGCTCATCTTCCAGCAGCTCATCATCTTCGTTATGTAAACCAGTTAATCCATGTGGTGACCATGGTGAATGTATCGAATCACCTTCAACAAGTTCAAATAAACGTCGACGATTCGCATGTATCTGTGAAGAAGATTGGTTTGGACGATTATGTGATAAACAATCAAGTGGCTGTAAGATTCATTTTATCGCCATTTAACATATATCTATTGTTTCTCTTTCTTAATAGTTTCAACACCAGGCCCACGAACCCATCTCGATCAAATTATGAACAATACATTAACAACCGATACTTTTTCATTACCTATCTCGAATGAAAAAGATGCAAAATATATATTCTATGGATTAAATGGCAACAATAAAGTTGAACCAATGAGTCATTTAAATAAACGAATGATCGAACCAGAATCGGATGAAGAATTTGATTAATACTGAAATACTTCTCTCTTACAATCTTCAAAATATTCTTCTTAACAAAAAAACAAAATGAATCATTAACACAAATTCATAAAAAGTAGACAGAATATAATAGTTACATGTTTTTTTTTTCATTACTTAATCATATTCATTGTTATTGTATAAAACAAATAGTTTCTTTTTTTT